GTTTTTTTTTTTTTTTTTCTTTTTTTGGGTCAGGAGCCAGAATAAATGAATTAGGCATGCTGTTTGTATTTGAATTGATCTTATTGCTCGTTGGTAAGGAATAACTTCCACTCAATTAGCCTTGCTTGTTTCCCTTTTGTCTTTATGTTATATCTTGATTCTTATTGTAATTTTAAAAGAATTGAAAAAATATATATATTTTTTTAACATCTAATCCTCCTATTGACTGTACATGAAATCCTTTTATCACGAAATTCAGAACAATGCTCGGTTGTTTAAGTACAAGAGTTAAGCAAAAATACGATCTAGTTAAAATCAACAGATGTAGTTGTTTTTGCTTTCGTTTTATAATGTTGATTAAGTTCATTTTTTATTTTTTATAAACAATAAGAAATTAAATTTAATCAACTTTGTACTAACTACTTAAAAAAACCTTAATTAAGTCAACACAAGGGAAGATAACTTTTGATATTAAAAAAAAAAAGAAGAAAAGAAAATCTTTTTGCTTTAAATCATAGAAAGACAATGAAGTAGTATTAAAGTTATGAAATTCATTTTTTCTTCTAAATATATAACTCAATTATTGCAGTTCCACTCCTCAAACTAGATCCACTATGTGTATTGATTGGAGTGCCTTTATTTTGGTTACTTGGTAAGCAATTACTTCCACTCAACTTTTATATATATTGTATAATTCTTTTTCCCTTCATTATATATAGATGTGCATGTTCATCCTTTTAATTAAGTTCATTTTTTTTGCTCCGAATTAGAAGGCAATTTTTTTGGCTATATATCATAGAAAGGAATCAAGGATTGCAGTTATGAAGGTCTTTCTTCTAAATGCTTGATATAACTCAATTTATTGCAGTGCCACCACCAAAGGAACCGATTCTATTACTCAAACGGTTTCCAGTGTTCATATTGTTACTTGGTAAGCAATAACGTCTGCTCTATTTCAGTGGTTTTACTTTTTCTTAGCCAGCAGATTCTGAAAACGAAACTTCTCTGTAAAATCCTCCAAATTTGAATGGTAAAATGACATTTTTGGCCCATTAACTTCAGTTCTTGTGCACTTTGATCCTCAAAATTCAAATATATTCAATTTAATCACTAATTTCAACTTTTTGTTACAATTTGGTTTCCAAACTTTCAGAGAGATGCACTTAAATCTCAAAATTTATAATTTCGTGCATTTTGGTCTTTTTTCACTAATAAATAAAAATTATGTAATTTTCAATAAAATCACATTTAAATATTCAATTTGTTCAAATATTAATAAAATCAAGCATGAAATAATAAATTAAAATATATAAAATCCATATAATTAAAGTATAAAATCAAGTTTTTAACACTCACTTGTCCCAAAAATATTTTTGATACTCAATTTAAAATCTTATGAAATGTTACAATTAAAATGCTGAAGCTATATATAAAATTCATCTAATGAAAGTGAAAAATCACATTTTCAATGTCAAATTTGAGATTCTTAAAATAAAGAAAGGATATTAATTAGCTGCATACACATAACTCATACCAAAAAATTATAAAAAAGAAGAAGAAGAAGAATAACATATGATGAAAGAAGGGTAAATAAGATATGCTTGCCTTCTTTTCATTGTTATAACTTATAACCATACAAACATCACCCAAATTCATTATTAGTCCAAGATGTTTGCACAACCACATCTATACCACACTCACAAGTCACTCGTATCCTTCACAATTTCACAAGATTTCAAATTGAGTACCAAAGATATTTTTAGGATAAATGGGTATTAAAGACTTGATTTTACTCTTTTATTATATAATTTTATATATTTTAGTTCACTACTTTTTGTTTGACTTTGTTGATTTTTGAATAATTTTAAAT